TTCTCAATTCCTATTGCACGTGAGAAAAAATAAATAAATAAATAAATATCAAAACAACAGGAGTGAATAAATTAGTTCTCCCTAAATTCCTGTCCAGTTGAACAGTGAATCATTACATCAAAATCACTAAATCGATTTCTGAATTCAGAATCGCCACACCCGGCTTGATATCCACGTCATGCTTATTAATGTGCCTTTCCCGTGCGTGAAATATTATAAAGTAAATATATGCGTGTACATACCTCGCGAAAAACAATTATTGCCGAATCTTTAGAAATGTTATGCAAATCTAATTTGACCTTGATCCGTAAACGACGTTACGTGGTAGTGCGTCATCTATACTGCTATACATCATGCGCACCCCCACGAGGTCCCTAAAAAGCACTCTTTCCCGCGACGGCTCTTTTAAACGAAATCCCACTCGCGGTGCATAAATGCGCTCCGCGGATAACGCAATGCTAGCGGATAGGGGAGTGGGTTGTATCGACCCTCAAACCTATCGAGGGTGATCTTTTTTTATTTTTCTAACACGTTTTATTTTTTGTTTTCGTTCATCTTGCCATCGGTTGTGTGTTGCTATTTCGAAGGGTTGGTGTGTGTGTGTGTGTTACATGCGAGTGTTGGAACACCCGAACAATGCAATGGAACAATGCATGTTGGATATCATATATCGAATTTATATGTATGAAATGTAAAAAAAATAGGATTGTCACGTATGTGATAGAAGCGGAATAGATGTTAAGAAATGGCTTTCCGGTTAAGCCATAGAAGCAAGCACGATTATAAGATAAAAGACCACCCGGTTAGGACAAAGATCAAAATCTTAAATAAGTGTGTATTCGGTTTAGAAACATATGTGGTATACCATGGCCTTCATCTACAAAAAAAGTAATATACTCGTATATTTCCTCCTCCCCCTTAATGTCATTATAAAGGAGTATATTAAGTTGGCAATAATATATTTTTTCTATTATTATTATTAAGTAATATAATTTTCTATGTTGTACAAAAGTATTTACACAGATAACTGATCCTTACAGTTACGAGGAGAAAGAAACAAGATATATTTTGATGAAAAATTAGTCACCGGATGTCTTTATTGAAAATTCTAATCTAACGATATCAAAATATGCTTTGTTTATTTACGTGGATAAATTTTGTTTTCTTTTAAATGGCAGTAAAAAAAAAAAAACCGTCATAAATTTTTACTCGTCAAGAAGTATAACCATAATAATAAATTAATACAGTATATAAAATACAATTAATAACCAGATAAAAATTTCTCCCAGGCTAAGGTATAGATTATTCCGTTTTGTATTATTTTATTACATAATTCGTGTAATACGTTTTTTCAAAAATCCCAGAGGGCTGATGGCAGAGGTCCCTCCTCCGTCCCACGGGTGAACTTGCGCGGAAGCGTTGCAGCTATAAAGCTGCTCGTTCCCGGTAAACGTTTCGCTTCCTTTTTTCACTTCTGAAAATTTTACAACTCTCTTGAAAAATTGATATTCTATTGACGGCAGCAACGTCGGCTCATTTCGCGGTACCTACCGCAGAGTCGATACAGTAGTAAGACACATTTTTATCGTTATTGCTACAGAACGAGCGGTGAAACGATGATAAAATGGCTGTTTATTTAGTAACGGGAAAATACACTTCCAGTGAGTCACAAGGAACGGAAGCGCAAACCATTTTGAATGAAAAATTGCCTAGACAATAACATTTTTAGGTTAAGTACGACTTAATCATTTACCGAGGGATTGTGTTTTTAACATTTTTCGTTCTGCTGTACACACGGTTGTTACCAGGTCTTGCCCGAACACCCGTCTGTTTGGGCGTTTGAACAAACAATTAATTAGTTTGATTAAATAAAATGATTTGTTAAAACGATTCGAAAGTTGTTCATCCGCTGTGTTTTAGTTTTTAGCAGAACAAACGATTTTTCCCAGTAGATATAGAAACAGGAGAAGAAAACAAGAAAATAAAATCGAGTTATTTATCAATTATAAACATCAAAAACAAGGACAAAAACTCTGAGGATATCTGAAAAATAAACAGAACTGTATATAAAAGGCTCAACATTACATTTAGTGTGAAATGACTATATCATTACTATATAATTACGTAACACAACATTTCTGTAGTTTTAATACATCTATCTTTTGATATGCTATATGTTAATGGTTTATTTCTTGTCTAGCTAGGTAAAACTTTTATCAATATTCACGTAGTGTATTTAATGGTTATCAACTATTAATAATCAACAAAATTGTTTTGTAACATGTAATGTCGTGTTTAAATTAATAAATTATTTTGTAGAATCAATCATTCAATCAAATAATATCGGCAAACTTAAATATATTAGTAAATATAACATTACATAATTGATATGTTACACGGAAACAAACATGCATACTTACTCGTACGTTTGATGATTAAAATAATAAGAATATTCTGATTATTTTAATATGATAGAAGTACCATATTAAATAAACATACTACATAAAGTGGTTGAAATATTTTAATTTATACGGAGTGAAAGCAAAAACTTTATGATATGCAAATATCAAACAATCCACTCATACTTTTAAGTTTATATAATTTGTATTTTGCGGAAAAAATAAAAATAAATGCTACCCAAAAATGTGGAATTTTTATCTGAAAAATAAATCTGAATACGACTGAAACTAGTTGCTGTATATAATTCATAGCGAAAAAATGAAAAGTGTAAACGGAGAAAAAATAAAATCTTACTCGAAGATGGTGTATAATATCCGGCCTAGATCGTCTCACTGTTAAATTATTAATTTAAGTTTAAAAGCAACAAATACATTAAAAAGAACCGTTTTCAACAAATTTTGGATTACCTAAGAACGGTACAAGACTTTATTGATAAAAATGACCTTATCTCCATTTCTTCGTTACTTTTTTTTAGTTGTTCGTCTTTTTATGGAATACTATTGGGAATTTGAACGAACTCGAAGTACCGTTGAGGTTCAATGTATGATCGATTGATATGGATTTACAAGGACTTTTAAAGTTTTTTAAGGTACCGAAAAGTGTTAACCCTGAAAACAAACAAGTCATTGCAAAACTAATGCATTCCTCGTTACGCTGCACAGTTTTACTAAAAGCCCAGAGATGGCATAATACTACCGAACCCCTTCTTCGACCATCGAAGATTATGTGTATGTGACTTTCAAAAAAAGTCGTTTGAGAGTGAATAGCAAACTTTGGGTAACAAAGACTGAAAAGTAAAACAAAACTATTTTGAAAAGACTAAACTTTTTAATAATTTTCTGAAATCAATTTTAATTAATTTACTCGTTTCCGAACATATATTGATATATTTCCTTACATAAATTTATGTAAGATCGAGAGATCCATAGGTTATCAATCGATATAAATAGTTTGAAAATTTTTTTTTTAAATATAAGCATTTCGTTTCCATTCGTGATGATTACAAATAACGTTTCGTTAGATTATTTAAGTCAAGTCGTATAAGTACGTAAGTAACTAATTGTCATTTGATGTTTTACTAGCAGACCTACACTCAACAGTAATGTGCCAACTGTAATCTATTGATCTATTAATGCATCTATTGAGTGAGTTTGATGAATTTATATTATTATTCAGTGTCTAAGTCTTAATTATTGCAGTACATTTTAAAAATTAAAATATAATATATCAGTTTAAAACTATTTTTAAATTTTTTATTTTATGAATGTTAATAAGTCGAGCTAGACATTTAAAATTGTTAGACGTTTAGAACTTAAAAGTAAGGTAAAAAGTCATACCAAAGAAGTTAATAGAATAAAAACTTATTAAAATTATTAAATTTCTTTATTTATCCATGATAACAATTATGATTTCGTCCAATATGTCTAAATAACTATATTATTTGATTATGACTAGAACGTATTTTGTTCGATTTGTCTATCCGTTCTATCCCCTAGGACAATAGCTTATCAACTCCGATACATGTAAACCATACCATTCGAATACAAACGTAACGTAAAGTTTAGCACACACGATTGTTTCGTTAGAGCGAATAATAAAAGTAAGTACAATTAAATATTATCTAATTTAATTAATGAACACACATCAAACAAACTCGATAAGCTAAAAACGTTATAATATTATTAGAGTTTTAAATCTGGTCATATTTTTATTTACAACAACGGTAAGAAGTATATAGTGTATAGATTGTTGTGCGGTGAAAAACCATCAATAAAAACATTAAAAAATATTGCTCGAATACGCCTGGTCGACCGTTCGGAACGCGTTTGTTCATCAACGCGTAGTTATCGGTGTCGTATATTAGCGCGATCGTTTATTCAAGTGAAACGAAACCGAAAAGAACCGTTGATGTACCACTGGAATTTTGAGGAAATGAAAAGGATTTCGAAATATCGGAACAAAGCCGTCGATGGACGCATGTTTCGGGTAAACATTCGAAGCGTTTCCGAAACAACGCATCGTCGATGGTTGCGATGCCTGAAAACCGTTCGCCGTCGGCGCGAAGACCATGTGGAAAAACGATATGCGAAAAAAAAAATTTAAAACCGGATTTCGACAGTGCGAGGAAGGCAATAACAAACAGTGGCGTGGCGAAATCAAAAATGTTCAGAGGCAAATTAATTTCGTATATTCGTTTGTGACAAATATTTTTGAAGAACGAATAAATGGACGCAAAGGTAGACAAAGGAAAGCATACATAGAAAAAATGATAAGACAAGCCGACTGTAATCGATACATAGACACGAAAAGACTGGCTTTTAACGGGGAACAATGGAAAACCAGACAAGGCAACGACAAGACTTTAGTAAAGAAGAAGAGTATATTTTGTCGATACCCGGTCACAAAAAAAAAAAATTAATTAACACAATAAAATTTAATTTAATTAAATTAACTGAGAGACGGCTGTCTCTCGATTACCCACATCGCCACGCCACTGGTAACAACGGTAACGTAAGGCAAAATCGTGTGCGCGCTCTCACTTTGTTCGGGTACCCGTTGAACCGCATGATCTTTCTGCACGACTTGCCGCGGTTCTGCCGGTAGAACGCCTGCACGGAACCGCCCGGGCTGTGCTGCGAGTTCTGCTGCGCCTCCGGTTTGGCCTCCGGTTCCGCCAGCCGCTTTTTGTTGCGCTTGCCACTCACGTCCGGGAAACACCCGAACACCGTGCCGCCGCCGCAACAGTCGTCCGTCGTCTCCTTCATGGCGCCCCGGCCACGACGGTCCGTGGTCCCGCACGATCTTTCCCGAACTTCGGATGTCGCTCTGTCCGTTGCGGTCCCGGCCGTGCGTCCCGAGTGAGAACGCGACACGATCGCACACTCACCGCGCGGTACCGTTGTCGCTGGACGTGAAGCCCGGCTGCGCGCGTGCGATCGGTAAACGCTTTGCCGGCGCACTGGATGCGCGGCACCGGAGACGGAACTTTTCGGCCGCGGTCTCGTGCGCGAGCACACGGCCGACGCGCATCAGCCGTTGCCAGGGGCGACCGCGCGCCGTAGCCGCAACCGCCGCCGACCCTAGCATCCCTTGTGCCGCCGTCCCTAGCGCGTACCAAACGTGTAGACGGCCACGGCGATGGTTGGAAGGGACGCGCCGCGCGCTCTGTATAAGTGCCCACCGCTACCGTTCTACTGTGATATTATTATTATTGTTGTTATTGTTGTTATTGTTGTCGTCGTCATCGCCGCCGTTGTCAGCGACCGATGACGGGTGGGTAGGTTTGCACGTCCCGAGTCGTGGGCCCGGTTGTGATCTTTGCCGTGGTCAGTCTTAGATCATACGCATAATCCAAATGTGAGAGGGTGGGTAGGGCGAAATATCCGTACGAAAAGGCCTCTTGGTCATCTCGGCTTGAAATTGCATTCGGTGATGATTTCTACAATGCCTACAAAAATACCTACTTTTATTTTTACTTTTTCCCGTCATTCGCCTACCACATTTACCACCATGGGCATAGTAAGTGATGGCACGTGGCCAGGTTTGTGTGATTTGTTTAAATTCGTTTTGTCGTATATTTTTATAGTTTTAAAACTTTGTTGATGGGAACCCACGACCATGTATTAGCCCTTGAGCGCCCGAAGGTCTTGATCGGGGCTTGTGTATACATATATATCAGCCCCTATTTTTTAATGAACCCCGACACTTGTGTGTAGTTCGAAACTGGAAATGTGCATTGCGGATTCAAGAAGTGCGTACCTACAAAGACTAATAAACAAGACTTCTATGAAGATGTTTTTCATGAAGCCAGCTTAAGCTAGACAGCTTATGAAGATTTAAATATATCTATGCAGTTTTTAATTATACATCACACATTAAAATAAATAGTTCGTTAATAGTTTTCAGATTCATACCAAACAAAAGTATATTTTAGTTTAAAAAATAATAACAGATTGGTAGTTGCCTTATTATAATGTGGAATTTGATTCATAAAAAAAACTATTACTATTAATTATTACTAACATTGAATTAAAAATTATAATCATATTGAAGTGGGTAGATAGGGCTCTGTATCATATCATTGTACATTAAAAAAAGTGTAGTAGACATTTATATAAAAAATTGGGGCTGATGTATATATATATATATATATGCGTGAAACATGCCAGTCTGTCGTTTTAGGCGAAATGATCTATATTTACGCATGCATCACGAGACGGAGAACGAGAAACCGTCCAGAAAATTTTGAAGATAAACATGCGCAGTGATGAAATTAGCGCCAATTGCTATCGACGCTTCATGATTTTATTCCATTGCTCTTTCTCTTTCTCTATAAATATATATATATCGTATATGAATGACGCAGTTCAAGTAATCCGAATTTCGAGAAGCTGAATCTCGCGGCTTCTATCGAATCCTTAGATTTCGAACATTTTTTTTTTTTTCATTTAATCAGCCAATCGCTTTAATTTGATAAACTATTATAACCAAGGAACGGACTTTGATGTAAAATACATTTTTTAGTGGGTAGAATAGGACAATGTTTTCTAAGTGTATAATTCGATTCATACATCAGAGAATTTAATAATAAAACTTTTATTTTGAATTTTTTGTACTTTTTAAACTTTTTCAGTTTTTAAAGCATTTTTTAACATTTTTAGAGCATTTTTCCATTTTTAGGTCATTTTTCATATATATTTGTTGCTTGGAATTATAAAATTTTAGTTATTTTTACGAAGATCGGCTGATTGTATCTATCTATACGGCTATACGTAATTCCCATCAAATAATCTCGATAACGTTGCGATACGCGATATAAAACTAATTGGTGTCCGATTATTAGTAGGTACTCTTAGAGTCGTTAGTCGTTTTGGCAATCGTAATTCGAATAAGTGTGAAAGATGCCGAAAATTAAGCCGTCCGTTGTCGTTTGCGTGCGTATGTACAAGAATTCGGTGAAAAAAATTAATATTTATTAATTAACATAAAACATTTTTCAGGCTAAAAAAGAAGATAAGCGAAAAGACAAAAAAGTTTTTTTTTATTGTTTATATTTAAATATTTTTTTATGAAATAAATTTTTTATAATGATGAATTTTTTTTATAAATTTTAAGTTTTAATAATATTATACACACACAAAACTGTTCAAAATTTTGTTTTTATCGAATTTAATAACATTTTTAATGTTTTTAGTGCATTTTTTAAGGCATAAGGTCATATTTTTTAAGGACATTTTTCTTATTTTTTAAGACATTAAAGTCCGTTCCCTGATTATAACGTATATGACCGGTGAAATGAGTTTGACAAAAAAAAAACCTAACACACTAAATCTTAAAAATAATCTTTTGCTTATGAGTAAAGATATTTTTAAATAAAAAAATAAAAATGTGTACATCTATGATGTTGTATTTTGAAAAACAGAATATCGTACTTTGCACATGAGATATCGTTCTACACTAATAATACGAACCATTAGGTAGTAACAGAAATAATCGTTCAAATTTTTTTCTTCTTCAGATTTTACATAAACTCTAGATCATGATACGACAACGATGATGAATGCAAAATGCGTTTTTACAATAATATGCTTATATAGACGATGTACTCTGCAAATATAATGCATACGCTGATTCTCGTTACCGTGGAAGAGGTAAATGTTCTTTTTTTAGTAATATTTTTTTTTTCGTTCACAACCGATGGTTCTTGTTATTTTCTGCATTTGGATAAAAATAAAAAATAAAATAAAAAAAAATAAAAAAAAACGTGACTTCCTTTTGATAAAATAATAGTCTCCTACAATAACGTATGTTATTATACAGATATTTGACTCCATATATTTTGACAGTCTTTTGACAGCACCCCTTATGTTCATTCTATTACACTGCATGCATTGTAGATTTAAACTACGTCTTTAGATTAACATTTATTTAGTGCAATGGTCTTCGGAGTGACGGAAAATGACACGTCTTATGTTGCCTTGACAACAATCATATTCTATGAATAAATAATCATTAAGACTAAATTAATTTAGTAAATTTAAGTCAATTATTTAAGTCATTTGTCAATAAATTTTTATTGAATCGTAAAAATGCCTGATCAGAACACTACCACGAGTTCTAAGTTATTATCAGAACCAGTGATTATGAAATACACAAAAAGCTGGAAATAAGTATTTAAAAGTTGGTTTCAACTCAATGCAAGGATGGAGACTCACCATGGAAGATTCCCATACACATATTCTAGCACTACCTGATGATCCAAGTGCTGTATTTTTCGGAGTCTACGATATATTTTTACATATAGTTATTACTAAAATACTAGAATACGAAGAAAATATAATTAGTGAAGCGTTACAACAAGGTTCCATGGACATGGATACGACTATGGCCAAAGATGAAATGCTGAAGGATGATAATTCTGGAACTACAGACGTAGTTATTGTAGTAAAAGATAAAGTAATTTATTGTGCTAATGTTGGGGATTCCAGAGCTATTACATCAGTGAGTAGTATAGTACAATCATTATCATATGACCCCAAACCAAATAATAAATTGGAAACTAGAAGAATTGCAGCTGCTGGTGGTTGGGTCACGTCTAACAGGATTAAAGGTAATTTAGCTCTATCCAGATCTTAGCCGATTATAGATTTAAAAAAATGACGAAAAATAAATTAAACGAACAAATAGTTATTACATGACCTGATATCAATATCAGGTATCAATATCAGTAAAGCCAGTTTTATAGTACTAAGAATTTTATTGTATCCGATTGTGATGGAATTTGGGACATAATGATCAAAGAGGAAGTAGTTGAGTATGTACGATTTCGTACTAACAAACTAACAATGGTATGAAACCCGAAGATATATGTGAAGATTTAACGTAATAACGGTTGAATGATACGACAAAATAACTTTGTTTTAGAAAATCTAATTTCTTATTATTCGTACAGGAGATATTTTGTCGTATTATCAACCGTTATTGCAATACACCTAAAAAACCGTAAAAAAGTTAATTTTTTTAAATAAACGAAAAATTCGATATTTTATAAATTTTCATAAAATATAAGTATGATAAATGTATAAAAATTTGTATAATTATGTTTTTTATTAAATATATAAATATATATAATTTAATTTATGTACATTTTTACAATAAGTTAAATATTTTATTGATTGTATTCATAAAACGACAAAACAACCCTATTTTGCAATTTTTCAACCTCGTTATAGCAAATGAAAGGGGTTAGTAGTCATAACCAAATTTAACCTAAATTTCTTTCTTATAATAATAAACAAAATGAGGATCGGGGAATCAAAAATTTTAATTTTTTTTTCTTCACCTATGACTAAGATATATATATGTATTATTATTATTATTTTTCAATCCTTAGATTGGTTCAATGACTTCGATGGATCTGTATCCATAACTGCTACTTTTAATTCTTTGTAATTAGTTTTTCCAATATCTTCTATAATTTGTTTCATACCTGTAAATAGTGTTCTTGGTCATCTTCCGACTTTTCCATCTATCTTTCCTTTTATTATTGTTGCTATGCACTTATTGTTTCTTATAATATGTTCAATCCATTTTGTCCTCCTTTTCCTGATTGTTTTCCATACTACTTTTCGTTCGCTCATTTTTTGGAATACTTCATTTTAAACTCTATCTGTCCAGGGAATTTTCAGTGTTCTTCTCCAACACCATATTTCCAACGCTTCAATCTTTCTTCCTTCTTCTTTGAGTATCATCCATGTTTCTGTTCCATATAGTGCTATACTCCATACAGAACTTTCAATCAGAGTTTTTCTTGTTAAGACAAGCGTTTGTTTTAATAATGTATATATATATATATATATATAATTTATTTTTATTAATACATTTCAAATTTATAAGTATCTATATAAATATGTTTTGATATAATATATATTCGAAAATAAAGTATTATTTTATTTTATTTTTTCTATAGTGTAACTAGAATTTG